TGACTGTTGTGTTGGCACCCCCGCAATGAAAAGTGCGGTATCTTATAAGAGGTTGTCGTGTAAACGAATGTTTCTGTGGCACAAAAGGGAACAAACCAGGTACAAACGTATGGTAGTGGTTACAGTGGTTTTTGCTGAGGTGGCGGTGCCAACTTAACGGACATATCCTAATGGAATACTACACCGGAAATAATCAAAACTCACTGTAGCGAAAATAGATAGGTATATCTCGAATAACTCAAATGATCTGCGGTGGAATAACACATCAAATCTTCTGTCGAATGACTCCTGAGATATTTCCTCGAAAAACACCCTGGAGTTGCTGCTCCTCACTCATTTTGGTTATTGCAAGCGTCATATTTCCCTCTCTTGTACATCTCAATACGTCACCCTTTGCAATTTTTCGAGTCGTTTTAAAAGTCCTTTTCTCGCGTTACATTCTTAAATACAGTAGCATATTGGATAATTAGGTCGCCATCCCTTAATCCGTTAAATTCTTCCCGCGCGCCTGTGTGCTCTTGTCGAGTGCCTAATTTTCTCTAGAGAGAGAAAAAAAACCTCTAAATTTCGAGTATGCTCGTGATCATATCTATGTGTATGTACAAACCGTATTTCTATTTTATGACATTTTGTATTTCTAATTACCGTTCTCAAAATTGTGATCTTGTTACATTGTCTTTGCCCTAACACAATATCCAAATTTTTATTTTATATTTTTGACATAGTAAGTATTAATGATTTTCTTCAATTTTATCACATATTGTTATGAAACAAAGTATTTTCAAGAAAAGAGCAATTTTTCCTACGTAATCCATCACTGTCCACTCGAAGTGCGCAACATGATAATCGGATGTTCTCACAGTTCGAGGCTCCTGTTCAGTATCTCAGTTACGGGATGTTCGCATCAGCTACCAAGATGAAAGGTCACCGAGTATCACCTTTACGTGTTAAAAGTATCACTGACGCCGCGTTTCGTGATCTTTAACCGCAATTTCCCAGAACTAGTTGCTATCGTCGACGTGTATGGCTTGCGACATATGAGCGCCAATGACGGACGTTTAAATACATTCGTCGTAGTGCAGAAAGTTACCATAAGATTGGAAATTAGCTTTTGTCGTACCAATTTTCAAAAGTGGTAAAAATCCTATAAGTAATTATAGGCCGGTAAGTCTTACGTCAGTGGTCTGCAAACGTATGGAGCATCCAGTCGCGAGTTACATTAGGCAAGAACGGGAAATCAAAAAATGGCTCTATGATGGCCAGTACGAGTTCAGGAGTGGTTACTCATGCGACAGACAGGTAGTTACACTTTTTTAGGATCTATAAGATGAAATTGACGCTGGTGGGAGAGGAGATGAAATAGTTATAGATTGTGTCAAAGCGTTTGTTGTCGTTCTCCACGATCATCTTGAACAGAAAATAATTAATTCAGGCGTCGATTCCAGGGTGGTGGCGTGGAGTAGCGAGTATCTGAGAGACAGAAAACAGAAAGTTCGAATTGGTCAATAGTTATCTTCCCGGGCAAGCGTTATGTTAAGAATACTGCAGGACAGTGTCATTGGAGCTGTTCTATTTCTAGCGTTCGTCAATGATCTGCCAGCACACTTAATCTCAAATGTTCGGCCATTTGCAGACGATTGCATAATACATCGTATTATTAACTTAAAAGAAGATGAAGAAATGCTCCAACGGAATCTTGATGAGTTATATTACTGGGCGAAAAATAATGAAATGTCCATAAAATGATCTAAAAGCATATCCATCACCTTTGACAGGGGGATCACAGGCACAAAATGAATTTAAGATCACAGAGGACGTACGACGGAAAATTTTCAGTCACAAATGAAACGAAACGATAAAGGGATGGAATAGATTGCCTGCAAAAACCTTGGAACTCTTTCCTCTTAACGTTCAACAATTTACTAAATTAATTTAGGGCATTACTTAGTAAATTAGGGACTTAATTGAGAACAGTAGGTTATAGAGCGATGCGTAGTGATATATTGAGAAGTCAGGTTTCGTGCAGTGTAGAGCAGAGAAATAAGGAAGGAAGTGATAAAGGGTCATAGTGATGTGAAGTGAAGTGACGTGAAGTGAAGTGAAGTGTGGTCTTAATTGAACAATCATTTACTGCGGAGTTAGATTATAGAAGATTATTTTTCTTAAGGTAATTCAATGAAAACTTTACTTAGCTTTCTCAAGAGAAAAAAACCTTTTCTAATACTTTTGTGACTATCAAGGAAAGCAAAAAGCTAACTGGCAAGTGATTTTAAATGATTGAGGAAGTGTGAATTGTTCGAAGAAATATATCGATAATACTGAATATACCTTTAATGAAAATTTGTTCCGAACATCAATTGCATTGTTTGCATTTTTATTTGATGTTCTGTAAGTACGAAGTTACGTTTATACATTTTTAACAAATAAACACGTTTCATTAACAACTCCCTTTCTTAATGGAAAGGATAGAAAAATGGATAGCGAAGGCTGGGGATGAACATGCGAGATAGTGAGAATGTAGAGATAGCATGCCCCAAAGGGTACGCTAGTGATATTTGTCAAATATGAAAATATTAGTTTTATTATTTTTTGACCCGGAATATATTTTCTTTAGGCACGTAAGAACTCACAAAATAATCCAATCTTTTTTAGTATACATATAATTTTTCAGTTTTCGCATCCCAGCAATCTGGCATTCTGCCATTCCAAAAAATCTCTCTGTTCTTCATAAGAAATCCAGGAAAGTTAAATAATATTGCAAAGTGTAGGGCTGTACTTAGCCGATCCTTTACTGTCACATGCAAAACTTTACTTAGCTTTCTCAAGAGTAGAAACCTTTTCAAATATTTTTGTGGCTATCAATGAAAGCGAAAGCCTGTCAAGGAAGATTGAATAATTTCTTCAGATGTTGTTTTAAAAGAAATGTGAATTATTTGAAGAACTTATTTATATTGTAATGGACCACGCTGACGTGAATATTCGTGTCGCAGTGAGTCACACTATCATAGGGGTGCTGTCACACTTAAGGTGCGACGGTAATTTCCAAATACCCGGGGCATGCGCTAAATGTATTTATGTGGGCGCCAAGCGTATGCCTACCTGTATCTGGGCGCCGGCGTCGAGACATCAACAGGGGTGGGCGCCCTGGGTCGGAGATTTCATTTATTAACTAATTATTAAATAATACATATTTTCCTAGTAAAATCACCCGACCAAAACTACGGGGACACGTTCATTGTTCGTGTTGATCTTCTACATTCGACGGTTAATTGAATACATTGACTTACAGTGATGTGATGGCTGAATTTAGATATTTCACTCCGAAATGATTACACACTCAACTGGCAGTCGGTGGCAGCAGATGCCCCATGGACTTCTCCGGGAGCCGGCAGGAACCTGCGCCTGGTTGAGTCGGAGACCGCCCAGAGTCCAGTGGAGTTGAGGCAGCAACGTTCGGTGCGCGGGTCACAGGTCGTCAAACGTCGCCTGGA